GAATATGTGAATTGTTTAATTGAACCTACAAACAAATTTAATTTAAAGTGATTATAACCAGAAGACAAACTGGAAATAAAAACATAATGAAGCTAGAGAAGCCCCCCCCCCCGCATTGTTTTCCGACCACTACAGCACGATGTAATGAGTTAACTATTAACAGAGACACACATCCAGAAACAGCCTGAAAAGATAACCACAGTTTTTGAGGAGTATTATGCTTTGACTGTGAACTGAGTTGTGGTGACTGATTGACACCAAAAGGAACAAAAAGAACCGAATCAGTGAGCACTGGTACTGGATCGTGATAGAAATCCAGACAAATCAGAAGAGGGATTAGTCTTACTTGAATCACTGTGCTGCAGGAATAACTCAAACTGTTGGATTCAGAGCATCTACTCTACTTTCTCCCTCGAATGTCTGAAGAGTCGACGCCGGGTGAAACGTGATGCAGACAGACTGTACATCACTTTATTTTTTCCCAATTTCACCGCTGCTGTTGACAAGTCTGCCTCTCCAGCTCTTACTTTACTGCGTGTGTGCAATAAAACATACTATATATACACACATGGCTGCATACAACATGCACCCACTAAAGAATGTGCATGCGCCACACTTCGGTACACTTGTGTATGAGGTGTGTGTCTGCATGTGTGCCTGTGTGCATGTGTCCACTGCAGAGGCTATGTCAGCAGCGCTCCTGTAGCACCAGGTGAGATTTATGAGGTGTTAAGAATGCTATAGCCTCTAGCCCAGTGATGGGAGACTGATCCCTGCTCCTCGCCTGCCGTTGCCCCCGCCTAACACGCCCTGGCCTGGCTCCTACTTAAAGACACAGGCAAGAGCTAACAGACATTCAGATGAATGCACAGCTGCATATAGCACCCCCCTGAACACACACACACACACACACACACACACACACACACACACACACACACAGATGCACACGCACACACAACCCCTGAACCTGAAAGTGTGAGGCTAAGTCTGCACCGCCCCCATCCAGGCTCTGAAAGACCCACTTCCTGGGGCAAAAAAAAAGCCTAGAAAGCGCCCCCTAAACCAGTTACAAAACCTCAGACTGTTCCTCCCCCTGTTGATGAACTCTCATGTTCCTCTGTGGAGAACGCGGTCATATTTTGACATTCTTCTTGAAGAGTCTACATATCCTGCCCAGTAAGGACTGCTCAGACAGGCTTGGAAATGGTTGCAAAAGGTCAGGGCTCGAGTCAGTGACGGGGCACGTTTCACAGCTTTTACAAGCCTCATCAATCAAAGAGTCACCTCACTTTGATGGGCTGATATCGAAGACACTGTCTTCCCTCACAGATAGAACATGTACAGATACACTGTACTGTCTCGTATAACATGATCTGGTACAGTAGCTGAATACTCTTTAGCTTCTAAACACCTACTTACTTTGCGTATTTTGGACACAGGATTAGTAACCAGAGACGTCCATTGGAAGTCCTTAAATTTGATATGACAGCTGCTTGGATATTCAGTCTACGGTCCTTTCACAGTTACAGTAAAAACGAAGCTCAATGCCTCTTTGGCTCGTTACAAATGTACTTGGATCAGCCCCAAATCCAATTATTTGGGTTGGCACAGGATCTCTTAATTTGGTGGCCCAATTTACATTCAGGTAAAATACAGAGACGGCAATTCAGAGCCACATAACGCAGCCTTCAGCGACTCCAACTTCCTGTCCAACTTCATTAAAGACCAGACATTAACAGAATGGAAATATAGTTTTATGATCCACAGATGTACGCATTACCTCTTACACTGAAGGGATGTTTAGGGATTCAATATTTGGTGGCTAAAGATTAACTTTTTGGAGGCAAACTCCCTTGAGTCGTGGTTAAAATCCAACAAGGCTTCTTTGCCCATGATTCTTTAGAAGATCAGAAAAACACTGGTATGAATTTATAAGAAATCTTAAGTGAAAAATCAGAATCCCTTCAAACAGCCATCCAATCTTTTTTTTCTAGGTAATACCACAGAACACTGATTCTGTGAATGAATTGATCATCACAATGACATAATGATGCATTAACTGGAGGTTATAAAAGGTTAAGTGCAGGATTCATGTATTTTTTCACTGCAAATTGTTGTCAGCATCACCTCTTGTCATGCTTCATCCTTGAACGCATCTTCACCGCTGACAAACATCAACTCGCTGTCGTCTACCTTTTTTTATCCCGCTGTAAACTTCTTATTGAGCCATTTAACTTCCATTCACATCAGTCCTATCAGCACCAATGTGAGACAGACATCGTGAGACAAACTGGCAGGGAAATCTGTTTTTTCTTGTAATTAAAATATGGACATTTGGCACGAGTCAGGATGGCATTATGGATATATGTATAGCATACATTCAAGGCAGTGATGTTGTTTTCCTAACACTTATCATGGTCCTTTACTTTCAATGTAATATGGTTGTTTTTCTTCTTCTATTCTTAGAAGGTAAGGAGCTGCTGTTCTCAGGATGTTATAGTGAACAACCTTTATCTTCTTCTTCTTCTTTGACTTGCTACTCGAGTGAATGTTGTGCAGAACAATGAGGTGACATAACAGTGGAACAATCCCACTATGAACAGGCTGTGTTAGAGTGGATACACATCCAACACATCTGTGGATAAAAGCAACTACATCATAGTCCATTATGGAATAGCCAAGGTTAACTCCAGGCAAGCTTTACTCCGGGTCAGCTGAGGTCACTGACCTTCCTACTGAAGAGGGGTCAGGTGTTAACTCGAGTATTTACAGCTGCATCATAACCGATGATGTCCCAGCCGTATACATAATATAAACATAGTCCCTCCTTTAAACATCTTCCTCCACTGCAGGAGAACTCACTGGCCTCTTTAGGATGTATTAAATCATTCCAGGATACAGCGATCACTTTAAATGTTTATGTGCAGTTTTCATTCAATTATCACCAACTTGAATAACGACTTAGTTTACTTGTGTTTGGTTGGTTGAAGTGGCACTTGAATTTGACACCAGCCCCCCTTTGGACCAGTATGAGATCTTGCCATTAAAGCCTCCAAACATCTGTCCAAACAAATGAGCGGGATGTTCCAGTCTCACTCCGCTGTGCATTATCTCCCTCTGCTGCAAGCCCTAATGCAGCAGGGACTTAAAGCAGGATTAGTCCACAATTATGAGCTTCCTCCCGTTCTCCCCCAGCTGTGCACAGAGCAGAGGTAACGGGACCTCGGTTGGCCCATCATTGCAGAGGAGGTTTCATGCAGTCACAGAAAAAAAAAAAAAAAAAAAAAAACGGAAGTTAAACAAAAGTTTAATTCTTTGAATCCAAGATCAGCATATGGTGCTCTCTGACCCCGGCCCTTCACATGCTTATTTCAATTTCCTGTGCTGCACAGTTCCCCTGGGAAAAGCCTCTTACTTATCACCAGTTTAGTCATTAATGACCTTAAAAAACATTACGAGACACTATGGAAAAATAGATGTAGGTATGAAGCAGCAATGTCAAGTATTCATCACCTGAACCAGATGAATGAAGAGTTATTCATCTAGAACACTGAAACCCAAATGGATGAAAGTCTATTAAGCTTACAAAACCTAAATGACCAGCATGCAATTTGTTTTAAAGTCAAACAAATGAAGTAATAATATCTGCATTAGTGTTGCAATCACTGCATTTGGAGGACTTAGTCTGAGCTCAGGATTCAATAAAATCTCAGACCACAAAAGACATAAAATGATCCGAAAAGCAGCCAAAGACTTAAAAACTGAATTTTAGTTATTCCATATCATCCTAACCTTAGGAGTACTTTAGCATGCTAGCAAAGCTACGATCAAAGCTAAATCGTCTGATGCTGAGGAAGGACTAAGGACTAGATAATGAAGTTTCTTGCCGGGGTAACAGGAGGGATTTTTCAAGGTGTGCATGCATCTTTGTAGTACAATCAAATAATGATAAAACTACACTTCCTCACCCATGAACTGTCAGCGTGTTGTCTGCACTGTTACTCTCAGGCTTGATGTTGCTTTAACATGACTTCCTGCTCTGTGACTGAGGATGTTCCTACCTTTAGGTTTTGTCATTTTTTTATACTGTTTGTTGTACTCCTGTGCCTTTGTTTGTCAGGACACTCTGACAATGAGGTTTAGAGCATAGTCTGGTCAGAATCAATATGATGTGAACAGTTTGATTTACCAATCGATGGACGGCTAAACAACGAGCTGAACCTGGACAAAACGCTGTGAAAGAACCTGCAGCTTTACATGATTATACTCCGTAGGTTCAACACAACAAGTGAAACCCCTTTCACATCGTCACATGCTTCACTGTCACTAAACACTTTGTTATTAAAGAAATATCGGTCATGGCCGCCCTGAGGCGCTCACGTCTGAGTCCGGGGAACATCATTCTCCTCTGATTTCTTGTTATCTCTCCCCTGTCATATCGCAAATAAAGCTGTTAAATGAAACTATTAATATGAACCTGTATGAAGCCTGACAGGTAATACACAGTGTCAGATAATCATGACAGCATTTATCACTGCTCCAAAAAGCTTAAGTCTCCCTGTGAGCGGGTGCTGTGACAACTCAAGGTGACCTAGATGAGCGAGTTCTATGAACCGGAGCTTCCCTCATTTAAGTTGCAACAGCTGGACTCTGGCTGACCCTGTTTTAAAGGGGTTTAAGGAGAGGAAACCTTACATTTTTCAAAAAAGGATTATGGGGCAGGGAAGGGATGATGCCGCCCACGTATCCGGCAGATATTACGTCCTCATAATACCTGTAGAAACTCATCAGTGAGGTACAACTGAGGATCCTGGTTTAAGCTACAAAACTGTGAATGACTTTGCTCGATTAGAAAATGACCATAGTGGAAGAAGTAAAGATGATTAATCAGTAGATAAACATTGTTGACTTCGGCTGCTTGCTGGGTCAGTTATGTGTACATGCACACATACACACATGTGTAATAAACATACATGTTCTGAATGGGCTGAACATAACCTACCAGTCATGTTGCATGTGTCTGTGTGCCGTTAATGATTTCCCAAGGCCTCCTGCGTTGTGTGGTCCGCCTCGTCTCCGCCCTGGAAGAAATAAAAAGCGGATTGTTAGGGTGAATGAGCAGCTGAGAAAGGAGGCGGCGGGGGGAGAGGGAGGAGAAAGGGAGGGGATATAGCATATAGAAAACAAACAAGGCCGAACAGTACAAAGGCCAGCAAGAACCCCCCCCACCCCCCCATCCCTGAAATCCCCCTTTTTTCCCTGTGTCCTCATTCCTCGTGCTCACTTCTCAAGCTGTTTCTCTGACTCGCTCTCCTCTGTAATGTCTTCTTTCCCTTCTTCTTTCCTTGCCCCTATTTCTTCTTCATTTGAGGACCCTGTTTTTTGGCTTCCTCTTTGTGTTCCAATTTCCCTTCCTTTTTCCTCCTCCTCTTCCTTCATCTCCACCTTCTTCTTCCCCCTCATTCCCTTTTCGAAACTTTCTCCTCTGGTAAAACCTAACTCTGGCCTCAGAAGCCTCAGAAGCCTGTTTACCTCACAGACGGACATGAAAGGCAAACATTTCTCTACGGGCCTGGGTCACAGTCATGCTATAACGCGTGCAGAAACATCCTCCTACAGCTAGCTGTGCGAGCTTCAACATCAGAACTGGAGACCTTGACAGACATCATGCAAAGGTTGTTATGCATGCTACAGACTTAATGACTTTGATGTTTGATAACACATCAACTTATATAGACACAGGGGCTGCACTGTTGTGCTAAGCTAACTCAATTTAGTTAAACAATGATTACAGAAGTAGGAAAGTCTTCTTGTTCTCCTTCCTCAAAAGAATAAAGTGCGGAAATGATTTCAATATTGTGTTGAGTAAAGTATGAAACAGTTAGCCTAGCTTAGCATAAGGACAGAAAGCAGGAGAAAAACAGTAAACTTGTCTCTTTCTTAGAGAGGCGTTTTCTAACCACAGGAACTTTTTCATAGTTCTAGGAACCTTAAGAACCCTCCTCCTTTTTTATTCTCTCCGCACCGCAGGAACTACGAAATATTTCAGCTCCTAGAATTCCAGTTCCTAGAATTGTTCTGCATCTATACACCTTTCAACTTAAGATCCTGTCTTTGACTTTTTATTCATCACAAAATGAAAAGCTTATCAGGCTTATACTCACTCTATATTCATAGTCTATAATTTGACAATGTTTATTTCAATAATTACAACTTCATATAATAAGATGACACTGTAATGACAAACTTAATGTGAGCTTTTATAGGCAATTTATCCCCGCTGCTATTCATTACGGGTCGTGTCTCAATGAATATTCCCCATGAGCCATTATAACCAGACCAGACAGCGACTTGCCACATAAAGAGGGCAGGGAGACTTAATGAGAAACAGATGATTAGAGGAAAAGACATCAGGATCAGGAAAATATCAAGAAACTGTCCAACAAATCTGTGAAAGAAAAGAGACAGAAGAGAAGCAAATGGTCTAAACTCAAAAATACTTTGACTCAGGAAGGGAAAGAGGAAGCTGTGAATGTCTTTACGCTCCCATTGGACTGAAAGTGCTAAAAGCAATGCAATCATGCACATATAGGAGTGTGTGTGTGTCAGTGTGTCAGACTTTCTATATGAGGATGTGTTTGTCTTGTGAAATGAGGAAGTGTCTGTGTCTCGTGTTGCAACCCCATGCATGGTTAATACAGATTATCTATGTAGCATTTTTCAGTTTAATTGTGGGTACAATAGAGGTGGGAAACAAATTTGATTTGTTAAAATCTTGATTCTTATCTTCTGAGATTTATCAGTGTATATCATTTTCTGAGCATTTCAATGGTCTGACACCATCAGGTCAAGATCGAAAGCTAGTTAAAAAGCACGCAAATGGACCTCATTGTGTTCGTTTTTATGTCACATAATTATCAAAACAATCTCAAATTAGGGGGAAAAAGGGGGGATCTTGACATAAGTCAAGCCCTTCAGCTAAAAGAATACACTGTGCTCGGGGAAAACCACAGGAAAATAAACTCCAACTTCCCAGGTTTTCTGTTCTCATGATTTGTCTAAAAAAACATTTCCTCTCAGCTTATATTATCCAAAGTTAGCTCTTCAACTAAAACCTAAAACCTTTACTAAAAGGTCATTTTGTTATCTGAACTTTCTACTTTTGACAACCGCTGCTTCCATGCTCAAGAAGAATAAACTTTCCCTGTTAACTTCTCATTTATAAAGAACTCCAGATTAATGTGCCATATCCCTGCATACATCCCTGCAATGATTTAAACTTTCAACCACTGTGACATATAATTACACACACAGCTCACTTTTAGAATGCACTTGGTGGTATGTGTGGAAAACGGGATGAAAAACGTCACGGGTGGGTTGCATTTCACATACCACATGGAGGGAATTCCCCCTCCATCAGAACATAAAGAATCAATTTTCCTGCAGAAAAACTGTGGAGTGGGTGGGGGTGGGGTGGGGGGGGGGTGATGGAGGAGCAGGCGGATTGGATAATCTGATGAAGGAAGTGGAGAAACCTCCAAACATGACTTATTTTACCAAACGATAAGCTGAGGGTCAGTCAATGATGACCTGTGACCTGTAAGGGAAATGGATGCAGCCTCTTGATTTCCTGGTAAAGCCAAAGTGCCTTAACCCTGCATTTCTCCTAATGGCCAGCAGGGAGTGTCTACACTGGTTGCATAAATGTATGAGAACATATGAGAAGATAAGGCCTACTTCTCATTGACTCATTACCTCAGTAAAGATTTTCCCAATGAGTTTAATGTCTATAGTTCTAGAATCAAGCCTTCCCTAATGAAATATGATACTCAGAGTTATTTATGCTCCCTTCTTTGGCGTGGTTACCTGCGATTGACATTTTGCTACAAGAGGGACCTGTCAACTACAAACGAGAGATATCAGGGGAAATCCAACCACACAACTTTAAAGAATGGATTAATGTAGCCCAACAGATGACACATGTTTAAATGGATATAACCACTGTGTCAGTGAGCCAAATAAGGAAGGAAAGAGCCATTATACAGAACAAAGTGTGAAATCAGAGAAGTAAAACTTGTTTTCTGATTGTTACAGTTGCAGATAAACTCCCACAACTCTACAAAATCCAACAGGAAGGTGTTGTTGCAGCCACTCATTCAGTTACTTTTTGGCACATATGTGCAGGACGTTGACTGGGGCTTCTTAATTTAGTCATGGTATCTATACAATGGTGGTACAGTATCAAAAGTTTAATATTCTGGTAATAAGACAACCCTATGTAGTACCCTAACAGTAGTCCACAAACCAATACATGCCATGTCCACTTCTTATGTAGCTTCTATGAGACAGACTGTGGACAGGCTTTGTGGAAGTGATTGTCAGTGCAGTACATAACAGTTTGAAATGAAAAGTGCATCAAAGGAATATGGGTCAGAAATGTCACAGAGACAGCACATCAACTCACTGAAGACAACATGTAAAGATAGGAGGTCAACTATTTAGCCCCTGTGCTGACGGTCTGTGACAGGGGGCCAAGCCCGATCTAACCCTTCCACTCCGCAGAGCAACAGAACATGATAGATGGCAAAAGAAGGAACAGAGAGCCGGGTTGTGGAGGGGCCTGAAGACTTGAGCAGCTTTGCGTCGAGAGCTCGAGTATCTTTAGAAGAGGACGAGCTTTAAAGTGAAGTCTCTTCATTTTGCTTAACTCCTCGGAGCAATGCTATCGCTGCTGCCAGTGCGGCCTTTTTACCATCCCGCCGACATGAATAGCTTCCTTTGTTAAAGTGAAATTCCACTGGCAAGTCTCTAATTAGCTGGAGGGCTCTTCTCTTGCAGACCTGCATGGGTAAAAAAGATGAGGCACAAGGAGAGAGGTAGCTCGCTGCGAGTGGAAACTGGGCAGACAATAAGGAGCCTGAATGGAGGAGTGGTCATATGATGCCCTCCTGCTGGAGACAAGACTAACCAATACTATAATTTGAGTGTTTGGAAATGAGAGGGGGAAGGAGAGTGTTCGTGAGGGAATGAAACTCTCAGTCCCCACAGTGTTGGTTTTCACAGCAGGAATCTGACAGGTGGTTAACCGGCACTGGGTTGTCAAAAAACCATTATGAATCATCAAGATGGTATTAACATCCAACTGTTGGGCGAAAAGCTGACGGACAAAAATGTGGCAACTATTCCACCGGTCACCAGCTGCTGATAGGCTTAATGTCTTGTTCATTTCAAGTAGTATTGTCTCACATTTTTAAATTTCAAAGGCCACAGTTTTCACACAGAAAGATCAGCTTATTCATGGAAGAGAGTTTAAATTCAAGCTGTGAAAACATTTATATTCTGTAGCTATGGAGAGGGGGAAAATAAAGGACCCTGATGAAGTCACTGTGATGTCATCAGAGTTGGAGTTAGACTTCAAATATGTAGCTGGAAATGTGCATGGATCACCAGGGCAGGAAGTCTTAATCATTAGGGCATTTAAAAGCAAAGAGCTCTAACAAAAGACGCTTCTGAGTTGCATCATGGGAGTTTTAGGATCAAGTGTTTTTAAAGCCGGCTCATCCTAAAGCGAGGATGTTCCAGCCTGTCTGTCCTTTTAACAATCTATTTATGTCACTCTGCACACATTATGGAAGTCAATCACTGCATTGCAAGAGGTCCCATTTAGGTAGGGCGATTTGAATAATGCTTCTCACACATTATTTTTTATTGGAAGATCTGGAGATATCTCCTGAACCAATGACAGCTTAGCCTTGCAGAGTACAGAGTTCTCTCTCGTGTGAATGTTATATACATAGCAGTGTCCCATGTCAAGTTAGATTTAAGAAGCGTCAGTTTGGCATGAGATCACATACAGGTGCTATATTTGCACCGACTGGATAGATATCTTATATAGTGTATCAAAGCCTATATCGGTGCAATGTCACATGTTCCACAGTATTTGATAAACAAGTTGTATGGTGGATGTGGCCTTCTAACATGTTTTTATCTTTAAATTGAACAGGAAGTTTTATGATTCAAGCAACTCTAAATCCTATAACAATATCGGCGAAGTAAACCTGTGTCAGTGTGTTACCTCAAA